GTTTAAATGCTCTTGATTTATGTTGAGTGTCGCCAAAGTGCAGCAGCAGCAGCATTTAGTTTCATCATTATGGCACAGGGTGTTTGAAGGAAAAAGAAGGAGGATGTGTGGAAAGGCCTGTACCACCCGAAATGGTAAATTTATACCAGGAGCGTAATAGGAGAGTCCGAACTAACGTTATTTAGTAACTTTCATGTTGTCAATTCTTTGTGATTCTGTATATTTTCACGAGTTCTACATCCTGTTGAAAAATATGCCGCACCTTTGAGAACACAAATGAATTTTTTCACTTTTCTATCGATACTTCCACGGGAAATGTTCTTCGGAAATCTCTGCTATCATCCCTTCACTAGCAATACCAGTCAGACGAACTAGACAAGCCCAGTCAGCACATCCCTTCGTTGTCAACCTCGAGAGATGCCGAACAGCACTTTATCAAAACTCCTTCATCCATAGAACGGCTGGGCTCTGGAATTCATTGCCTAAGGAAGTATTCCCAACAACATATAATCTCCAGAAGTTCAAAAAAAATTCGAATACCTACCTCCTATCCCTATCCTCCTTAGGAACGCACGATGTTCTTTGAACATTATAGGGATTCCCTCTCGTGCGCTCCAAGCGATAAAAAAAAAAAAAAAAAATCCAATATATAGTGCATTTTATACAGGGTGACGTTTTGAAAAATTCCCACCCTCAATATCTTCCTTCCAGTAAATAATATAAAAAATTCAAATGACAGGTCAATTTTATTTTCAAGGGGGACACTTGAAAAAATATGTTCAGCCCTCTTTGTTTATCCTCATAGGAGGGGTAGATATTACCCTTAGAATCTCAAATAGGAAGGGGGAACAAGCGGCACATCATTTTCTTGCGGTAAAAAGTAGGCTATGTTCATCAAGAACAATGTCAGCTTCTAATATTAATAGACTTTTTCAAATCGGTGCAGTAGTTTCGGAGCCTATCACAAACAATCAAATCTTTCCTCTATAATATTAGTATAGATTGTTTCTTACCTTTGGATTTTGAGTTAAGCATATATTCAGATGGTGCTCCTGGACTGGTGCCATCTGTGGAATACCCAGTGGAATAGGCTGATTCTGGTGATGATAGGTTGTTGGCGGAGTACCTAGAGTTGGGTACTCCCGAACTCCCTGAACGACATTGATTTTCCGGCTTTGCCGAATGATTGGTTTTAACTTCCCGCCTATCATCGTCCTTCAAAATAAAAAAAAAATGACTAAAAAAATTCGCAATTTTTTTCACAGATACAGGGACTTGATTTTCAAATGAGAAGACTCAAAATTTTCAATTTCTTCGACTGAAATTGACATTCTGAATTGTTATGGGCTTATCATAGGCATAGAGCATTACACAAAGTTGACATATTGACATATTCTTACGAGAAATCAAAAACATTCGGAAATTAAGTAATTAAGTAGGTATCTACTGGGTGCAAAGTTTCCTATAATAAATAGAGTATAATCAAAGACAAAAACAAAACGAAATATCGAAGTAAAAACTTTAATAAAATATGCCTGGAGTTTTTTTGAATCATCGGTTATACAATGACAGCGACAGCTTTTGGCGAGGTAAGAAGCACCGAAAGTAGCAATGACTTTTGCAATATTGCCGGATGTTCAATAAGAGTTGAAATATGTGGTATGGTGAGAGAGCCAGCATCTTTTTCAAATTTCAAACTATTTTTGTAGATATTGTATACAGTGTGAAAACCTATGATGGAATAAATTACGTATCTCCATAACAGAAATATAACTTCTCGGACAGGTCGATTTTTATTTTTGAAAATTTACTTTTTCTGTCATTCTCTTCTATACTAACAATTTGGAACAAAATTCCATTACATTTTCAATCTTTCGACTACCCTCTTCTTGCGAGTATTGGTAAAACGGAATTTGAAAAAAATAAACACCGTCGTCGTTGTATAGAGATTCAAAATACCTTTCTTACAAGGTCTAATTTGACCCCTCTCATACAATTCGAAAAATTTGAAGTGTTTGATCTGTAGGGCAGGAGGTTGACAGGTGGTTCCGAGGATTTTTAAATCATATCTCGATTATGAAAATCTATGATATATACCTATACGAAATTTATTCCATCATATGTGTCCCTAAAAGGTCTCTCAGGACATATTCCTGCGGTCGAAATAAGCCGATTCAGAGCAACTTACCTCAGTCTGCAATTGCCCCATTTCCGAGATACAGGGTGGTAAAGTTGAAAAATATAAATCGAATTTTCCAAAATTCATGAACATTTTTAAACGTATTACTCCAAAAATTGATAGCCGGGGTTTTTTTGGGATGCGAAACCCGAATAAGGACACCTTTTCACTGTGGTCATTAGTTGGCGCTTATACCAATGCACTTCTGCTTATGGTTTAGAATGGTCATAACTTTTTCTCAGTGTAGTTTTCTCATTTTTTGTTAAAGAAATAATTTTCTGAACATTTTTAAGCAAAAAAGGTACTCTAGTGAAAATCCGCTTAAATAAGCCGTTTTCGAGATATTTCGGTTTTTATTGTTCGATGCTGCACCGGCAATTCAAATTATCTACCGGGTGTCCCAAGTTATCGTATATCAGCAATATCTCGCTTTATTGATAAGATAATCAGAAAATGAAAAAACTGCTTTGAATGATGGCATCGAAGTATCTTCCTTTTGACTCATAAAAAAGTGGATTATTTCTGACAGAGCCCTGTGGTAGCTATTCTTCACTTTTTATTTTCAAATGGCACACCCTGTATTTTATTCCATGATCGATTAGGGATTTATAACATTACAAATCCAACGATACCGCGGGTCTGATACGGACGAACGCGAATATCTCCGTAATCGTTTGAATTAAAACCCTATCAAACCCGGTATCATTGAATTCGTTATGATTTCAATCGGCCTATTTTGGTCTCTAGTTCACCCTGTAGAATTTATGTTACGTTGTTCTGGGACACCTTGTATATGTCTCATACTATCCACATTTACCGCTCCAATTTCGGGAACAACCAGTAAAAGAACGACCTAGGTTATTTTTTCATTTCATATGATATATCACGTCCTAATAATGGTCATCGGATCCTATCGTATAATTTTTTCTATGGAACTACCAATCCATAGAAAAATAATATTAGTGGGGAAATATGTTACAAAATATCTTACTCTGTAGTCTCCATGCGAGGTAGTATTAGCATCCCATTTAACAGTGTTTTTATGAGCGAACATCAAATTATTACATTTTGCTTGCTTTTCCTTCCTGTGCTGTTTTTTCCTTGATCTAACAGCTTCCATCCATGATCTCAGTTTGCCCCCAAACATTATTCTACACTAAAACATAAATAAACATACTATTTTTACATCCAGGCAAATCCAAATTGTTATACCTAGTACAATATCGAATAAATCAAATAAAATTCAATTATTACCTCTGATGCCAATACATTTTGTAGTGAGTATCTAGTTCACCCTAAGAACATCCACATAACATTGAATAAATATTATTTACCTGTTTTGAAGTTGCGTGTTTGGTTACATCTTAGGAATTTCGCAAATGGATTGTTAGGAATTGCGAGTTTTCAAGGAATCCAGCTAGGATTTCTGCCATGATATTGAAAGGCGTGAGGTGGACAAGATTCGTTTCTGTAGCGTACTATACGGACGTCAATGTTGCAATAAACGACGCCGGCGCTGTGCGACGCTTGTAACGTTCCGACGCCACACGCACGTATACAGAGCGTTATCATTGTTTTCGATATGGCACAACCACTGCATAATATTTAATTGATGGATGTATTGAATTGGCCTGATTTAAGTAATGGAATCCAAAAAATAATTACGATATATTGTACTAATCGATGTCTGGTTTACCAAAGTGGTAGACAAATGAGGGGTTTCAGTTATCGATCGATTTTGCCACTATACTTCCCTCTCTATTCACGTAGAACGCTCCCGATATGTGGGATAAATAGGAACAAGAGTATAGGGATTCACTGATTCCTACGACGTTGTACAGGGTGATTCACCATAAATGTCCCCCCCTCTAGCTCACTTATTTTTGAACCGATTTAAAAATTTTAAAAATAATCTGGAATGATTTTTTAGAATTTTTCCCCGTGGCATCAGAAAATACAGGGTGCTCGGAACAATGGATCTACACAGAGTACTACTTGATTTTTTCAAATGAAACGTACTGTATTTCATTGAATTTTTAGATTCTTCCTGATGAGCCGATTTCATCAATATATCACACTCTGATTACAGAGATATAGGGTGTTCAAAATCGAGATTTTTCAACTTTAGGATTTTTATGTGACGAAACTATTCATTATTGGTCAAAACGGCTTTTATGCCTTTTCAATTTACTATCAACTGACATTTAATTGGAACATTTACAGGTTTATTCTGTTTTGTTAATAATCGAACATTATTGCTCCACCTATTTGAGTCACCTTGTATACCTAGTTTTTCGATTTGCAATGAGATTTTATATTACATATTCAGATTAAAATTCAAATACGATCAACAATTTCTAGAAATACATGACTAATCTTTTTTTGTCTATGATCCCTTGGGAAATTTAGAAATTTCCCATTTTGAATACATTTTGAACTCAGCGCCATCTAACTTCAAGAAGAGTATCTAACCTATGTTGTTTTGAAACATAGGCATAGAAAACCCCTTTTTCTATGAGCTCTCGTCTTCTTTAAGAGATTCCTGTAATCTGTCGTCTGGTCAGAGATAGAAAATGACGAAAATAAGCGTCGGAGTTCTTGAAAACTGTCAAAGCGGCATGTTTACTTTTATTTTCATTGGTTCACATTTGTTTTTTGTTTGTGCTCATTGGTCATATCATCAAAACAAGTCGCTCAGAAGTGTTCCAAGTTGTTGCCGTCAGGTGGTGGTATTCTATGGCGAATCGAAAGAGGAGCACGTGGATTTGTAGTCATAACCTAAAATTTTTTTGACACATGTTCATGATTTCTTTCCAAACAGATGGATGTTATGGATAACAAGAACAAATTATTGAATTTGAAAAAACTGATAAAAGTAGAGCCGAACTCTGGCCAGACCCAGAGACTGCAATCTTTGAGACTACCACGAGATTTGAGTCTTGGGGGTACGAAAATACAGAAGAAACAGTTTGTACCAAATGTGAACGTCGCTCGAAATAAGCAAAATATTAAGGAGTGAGTATTCTGGATCATGGTTCTGGTTCAAGTTACAGTATAGTAGCACAGTATAATATAACCTCTTAGGAGAATAGTAGTAGGAACCCATTTACAAATTATACAAATTATAGGATTGTCAAGAAAAATGGTTTTGAAAAAAAGGGGAGAAATAACTGGGAAGATAATAAAAATGGAAATAGAAATAAAAGCCGTGGTAAATATGTGGAGTCCTCAGGTATATTTTCAGAAGGAGCTGGGAGCATTACTCCACATCATGTCAGTTATAAATCAGATAGGTCTGGTGAAAAAGAAAATGATGGTGCTGTAGCTGCCATGGTCATACCAACTATTCAAAGAAATACTTTTGAGGTGAGTAGCCTACCTGAAACCCCTGAGAGTCAGAGAATCTTCATTTCAATTGATGTCTTTACAGATTGATAAAGAAACTGAAGATAATGTTTTGAACCAGCTAGTGGGCTATTATAATGAAGAAGAAGATGATGAAAAGTATCCATTTCAGCCAATAACCTGGCAAAATAGCTTTTCTAAAGAAAGTATGATGTAAACATAAGATTTGTGGAACTATTACTAACATCTCAAATTTTAGTTAAACATGAACTCAATGCTATCAAAATTGAGAAAGATGATGTGGAATCCAAAAATACACAAGGATTTATACAACGTGAGTATTTCCAAAATTTTACTGAATTTATACTTATTGCTCTTTGTTATTTTTGGCATTTTCTAGTAGTAGCATTATAATCAAGGGTAGTAGATAGATTTTTTTTATCAATCATCCAGTCTATCACTATCCATCTACAGTGTGCAGGTAAAGGACTTACCACCACTGTAAAATCCCTGGTAAAATAATTATTATCTGATAGTCTGATAGATTTTGAAGAACCTTTTTTTGTAGGAAATATATTTGAAAAGTCCATCCAACAGGAGAGTGATTCTATTCTTGGACTGATATCTTGGCCAACTGTAACCAATTTATTGCCCATATTTCTAAAAGTACTATTAGGTTTTTTTTTAACAAAAGTTATGATTGATTCTAAATCAGGATCAATTGAAACATACCTTTACTGATTTTCATCATCATAAAACAGGGTGTCTGAAAAAAGTGAATTATTATTTTTTTTAAATGGTGATCAGAAAATGTAGTACTGTGGTATTTTTGGGAGGAACTAATGACATCATTATATTTCAATGATGAAAATCGGTACAGCTATGTTTTAAGTATTTCTCAATAATACTGTGTCACTAGTTCTTTCCCAAGATACCACAATACTACATTTTCTGATCACAAAATTATGGTAACATGTCATTTGATCCATTGCCATTTCACCCCCTACATTAAATCCGCGTTATTATATCTATGTCAATGGCTATATGCATCATTATGTTTTCCATTACTTCTTACTTCTCATCTATTTGTATAAATTACAGACATCAGGAACGAGAATACCCAAAGAAAGCGTCTAACCGCACCATTTTTATCGGTGGCTCTCTGAATTCTCGCGCGACGAATTTCAAGGTCATCATCCAACGTTGTGATGAAGTTTGGCAATGAGGAAAACATTTCTAACACCTGGCTTGGATTGAAAGTCAGGCATGTTTTTTCTTTTGCTAAGTGTCATCGTAACGTCAAGTGATGACCTTGAAATTCGCCAATACGCGATATCTGCCAGAGGCAATTTGTTCTCCATAGAAATAGTTTTTCTACTAAGGGAATAGTACAGTGAGCTGTGGGACATTTTTGTTCACAAGTAATTTTCCGAAAAATATACTTTCTAGGAAGGAAGAAAGTCCATTTAGGCTAAATTAGGTTAGATTGTTTAGAGAATGTTGTCTCTTGTTCACTCAAGTAATTTTCCGATAAATATATTTTCTAGGAAGAAAGTTCATTCAGACCGAATTAGGTTAGATTGTTGATGATAAGTAGTGTGTTTTGTTCGCTCAAGTGATTTCCCGAAAAATATACTCTGTATGAAAAAAGTTCATTTAGGCTAGTTAGGTTGGATTGTTTGAAGGACTATAGCTCGTCCTCCTACTCGTTGGCATTGATTTAGTGCATATATATATATATAGCAGTTACTTATGTGAGTTGTCTGCAGCACTTGTGCAACTGATGAGGCTTGGAAAGCCGAAACTCTGCCTTGCATCAGCTGACAATCGATTCAAAAAAATTTCCTAGAATTTCTTAGTCTGGAGAATCCAGGTTTAATATCATGGTATTTGTTTTAATATTAAATTTTTATTTCAATTCGGCATGCAGATATAATGTCCGCGGATAATGTGTCATAGAACCAAAATTATTCAAAAAAAGTAATAATTCATTTTTTCGGATACCCTGTCTTTAAGATCAGGAAAATCGATACAGGTGTGTTCCAAGGGATCCTGATACAGAATCCATCATGATTTTTTGTGAAAAAAAAACCCTAATAGTACTTTTTGAATTATGGGTCAATAAAATTGATCACAGTTCGTCAGGATAACTGTCCTTGAGTAAAATCACTCTCTTGTTAGATGGACATTTGAGATACCTATCCAATTTTTCTACATCAGATCAGATAATAACTGTTTTACAGGGGTGGTAAGTCCTTAAAGTGGACACACTAGGTAATTCAATTTCTTTCCAGCGAAGTTGGAACCTTTAGATTATACTAGCTCAAATTATGCTGAAGGGGAATATTTTGAAGAAGATAGTCTTAATAATGACAAACCTTCATTATCTTTATGGAGTGTGAGTAAATGAAATCAATTCCTGATGAGAAAAGTCAGCATTTCATCCTTTCTACTCAGCTTCCAGATTCTTTTGCTGGAAAAGGACTTAGTGATGATCCAAATTGTACAAAGCTATTTGATTATTGCTTGAATGATATGCTAGAAGGCAAAATAGGAAAACTGGTGATCAGAAAATCTGGGAAAATAGAAGTACATATAGGACAAGTCAAGTACAATTTAGAACCTGGTGATATTGATGCCTATGAAGAGGTAATTTGTGTAATGTCATCATTACTTGAATTGAGAAACTTTTTTTTTTCAGAAAATTGTTTCTATGGAGACTGAAAAACTTCAACATGCTGCAGTTTTAGGGCAAATTAGAAATAGGTACTTTCTACATCCTGATTGGGACAGCTTGTTCCTATAGCCAATTGTTTTCAGGGCATAAGGGCATGTCCACTTATGTTTGTGATTGTGAGGCATGTGTTTGAAAATGCTTCTTATATATTTGTTATCCATGTCGAGCATTTTTGATGTGATATTGTTGGTATTTAAATAAAAAACATTTTCTGTATGAATGTAATGTATCTATTTTATTCAATATCTCTTTTTCTTTACCCTGATGGTTGGAAATCTGAATAAAAAAATACAGAGTGTGTTATTTGTTTTATTAAAATCAGTTCAAATACAATTATTCAAGAAATCAATAAAATTACAATAAATGTTTGATGAAATTAATCCAATAATCAGTGGTCCTAGAAGTTGTATTATTCAATGCGGCGATTCAATGCAATAGATATATAATTATAACGCCGAATAGATGAAAAATGTGAGTTGAAAATATATCATCTCTGTCAGATACATTTGAATATATATGTGTGTAGGTACTTTGATTATGGTGAGCACCAGTGCTGGACTGACTACTGTTTTTTTTATATAATTTCAATTTGTAAAGAATATATATAATACAAAATTTACGAATTGCATGAAAATTGAGGACACCTATCTAAATGACCTGGAGTTTGAGGAAAAAGTGGGTTTCGAGACTCAAATATTTGCAGTCTCGGAATGAAAGCTATTTTTATCACCTTAAACAATTTTTTGTCGCAAAAATATCAAATATAAACTTTCAAATCCTGATCCCTGAACGTTCAGATAGTCCTTAAGATAAATTATGAATCATAGGCTGGTGGTGCATTTTACCTTCTGAAATCTTCCCATATTATATACAAAAAAAAATAGGGTGTTTCAAATGTGGGTCGCACTTCGAGATGTGATAGGGCGTCTCGCGAAAAAAAAAAGTTTCCATAAACAAAAGTCCTTGCCTTGTTTGCGAGATACAGGGCGTTGAAGTTGCAAATATTTATAGCATTTTTTATGTCCACCCTGTATGGCTTTTCGTGGTGGCAAAATGTAGTCTGTTATGTGATTGGCATTGTGCCACAATTACATCTTGATGGACTTATCCGACATCTACCTGATATTTTGGAGTTGAATTTGGTTATTCGGTTTTTATAGGAAACAGTGTAAATTTGCATCCTCTGAAAAGTTTCATCGCCACCCATGTTTTTTCTAAAAAATCATTTTCAACTTCAACAGCCAGTATCTCGCAAACGAAGCTTTCTATGACTTTTGTTCATAGGAACTTTTTTATTCTCTTAAGACGCCCTATCAGCTCTGGAAGTGCGTCCCACATATTACGAAACACCGTGTATAAATATGATGTTCTGGTGCATTTTACCTTCTTCGCTGAAATATTCCCGTATATACAAAACAATTATAACTATGATAAGCTGGTGCTGCATTCTACCTTTACTGAAATCTTCCCGTATATACAAAACAAATAATTAACATAAAACAGATAATCAATTAATGTTCAAAATTGAAATATTTATATACATTGAATTAATAAAATATGATTATAGATGTTACAAAAATAATGAATATCAGTTCTTCAATTAAAACGTGAAATATGATTCGATATAACAGTAAATGTAATCAATTTAATAAGATTTATCATCAAGGACTGGTCTCAACCAATTAGAAATTAATTTTTATCTACATACTTTGGATATCACTGGTGCTGAATGATACATTATCATTGAATAGCTTTGTTGAATGTCAATAAATATTTCTTGTATATCATGATGATCACCCATTCCATAAATTTGTTGAATCATTGATGAAATTGGGGATGTATAAAATCAATTATAATTATATTCTCAATCTTTCCAATGATGATTGGTTCTAGAAATTATGAACATGGTATAAAAATTCATCAAATAGAATTCTGTATGGGATATATACCGGGTGGCAATGAGAACTGAGCCACCCCTGTAACTTTTGGCTATCTGGTATGTATGAATATTCGATGATTGAACGACATTTGATTTGAGGAAATTTTGCTAGCATTGCATAAAAATCGATACAACAAAACCGCGCATTATTTGTTATTGTTCTTTCAAGGTCATATTCTGTAGAAATTTAAAAATACAAGTGTCCCCAGACATTGAATTACCAAACTATCAGCATTTTTAACTAGAAGAAAATTCCTTTTTGTTATCTAAAATTCCAAGAAAAAAATTTATAAAAAGAATCGGAAATATTCGTACACAATTCCGAAACGTGATGCCCAATTTTTTTTTCACTGAAAAAGCTTTAAAAAATTGATTGTTTGCTAAGTAATGTTGTATCTCTAATAATAACAAATTCACCAATGGTGAACAGTTGATTGATTTTCTCCAAACCGCAAAAACATTTATCGATGCCTAAATCTTATGCTTTCAGAAAATTTTCACAAAATAAATTGCCTCAAAATACCTGAATGCTAATTGACAAATTTCAGAGACAAAGTTCTGGAGATGAAACAAAAATAATCGGTGATTTCTTCGATCTGCAAAATAGAAAAATGTTGACATGATTACTATATTATCATTAATAACGTGAACGCTCACAATTTTCGAGGTAGGTTTCCCAGCTCCATGCCCAGCTCTAGTCTCGATACGGATTAGCAAGGGATTTTTCTGTGACGGTGCTTTTCCGACTCTATACTGCAACTCCGAGATGAATTTCAATGAGTGTAGTGGTACCACCCTATCATCATGATCAGCTGTCAAAAGCAGGGTCGCTGGATACTGCCCCTCTAAAATCCGAATTGAGTTATTTGTCGGTTATTTGTTACGGATTTCAAGTTCATGTATAGTATACACAACGATGATTCATTCGAATTTTCTTTTCAAGATAGAGATTTGAGGCTCAGAAATTGATCAAAGGGATGAGTCAATGTTATGTTGAGTTTTGAGGACCTTCATAGGATTTTATTTAGTTTTTTGTGGTCAGTTATGAGCAGGATCTCAAATTCGCCAATGTTTATTTTATATTGTCATCATCATAAATCTGAGAGAATTGTATAATAACTTTTTTCCTGTGACGGGAAAAAAGTTTGGCATTTCATTTCTGTTGGCAGGTTATAAAATGTCACTTTTCATAAATCACTTTTTTCCCGGATATATATCATATATATACAGTATGATGCAAATGTATGAAATAAATTCATTATTTCAGAAATGGGCGACATTTTAAAAAATTCCAAAAACACGTGAGGTTTCATTTTTGAAGCCTCATCTCATGATATCCATATGAGAGATGTTACGTCACCAGTGTTGGAGTAATGACGTAATGAAAGATTTTTTCAAATTAAAACAGGGGTCATGTGACACCTCGTTTGAAAGGTCTACTGATTGTCTATTCAACAGTCAACATTTTGCATAAGAAAATTGAAATTAAAATGGCTCATCATTTGATTAACTGAATCTTGCAGAGGCCTGCCTGAGAATTGAACAACGAAGGGTCGTCTATTTAAAAAAATAAATCAATTAATAAAGTTCTGAAGTCTAGTTTTTGGATTTTTTCGGAAGTCGTCTTGTTTTGAAATGAATTTATTTCATACATTTGCATCATACTGTATATACACTGTTGATGGCTTTTGTTGTGCTATAGTTCCGAAAAATGAGTCAATAATACCGTCTCCGAGAAAGAACTGCAAGTCCTTTTATCTTCCATTCGACTTCGCGGTTACGTATATTACTAAAATACCACTAAATTCGCAATTTTTCGAAATCAAATCACAGAATTAGACTGATAGAAGTGACATCAGATATTTGATTACTTCAAAAGAATGATAAAGATGCCTATATAACGCAGGTGTCCCTACTGTTAAAAACTTAAAATTTCACGTCGATAATTTTCAGATTTCAAAATAATGTAATATCTTCTCAATATTGATTCATCCTTTCTTCTGTCACAGAAAAAAATAGTGTATTATACACGGGAAAAATATTTGATTTTAGCTCACAACACAACCTGGAGCTAAAATCTACTACTTTTTCCCTTGTATAATAAATAACTATTTTGTACTTGACCTTTACTTGATAGAAGTAAGAAATCCATATTAAATTCAAAAAAATCACAAAGGATTAGATAGAATTCTTGAAAACATGACATATTTCTCTAAGTAAAAAACGCTTATGATAAAGTTCTGTAGATGACAATATAAATTGACTCAATAATACAGGGTGTGATTTAATTGATGGCTGAGGATATAGGATATGATTTCTTGGCTCATTTTGAGAAGAAAAGTTAACATGAACATATGTCCTAAACCTCTTAACTCTCGAGCTATATAGGGTGTTGAACTCGCCGTTTCCGAGTAAATAATTATTACGTTCACAAAAATGCTGTTTAGATGTGCCTATTTCTCTGAAACCCTTCCATAGGAATCATAATATGAAAATTTACAGATGGGGGTTTGAAACCATGAAGAACAATATTTTGAGGTCAGTTTTCCTGTAAAAATATTGGGGGGAGAGGCGTTTGAAATGAGACACACTATATACAAACCTTTGGGTATTTGGATATTATGTAATGGTGAGTATTTATACAAATACTCAAACTGGTCCTCTTCTTCTGAACATCCATAGTCTGATTTCCAAGCATAGCCAATAGTAAATTTGTGATAACGTAACATATCTAAGACTCCGACTTGACATATTGCAGCGCCAAATAATTCTGGCGTTTGATTGATACAAGCGGCTACCAGAAGTCCCCCATTAGAGCCTCCTTGAATTGTTAGTTTTCCGACAGTTGTGTATTTCTCTTTCACGAGGTATTTCGCCGCGTGTTGAAAATCATCAAAACAATTTTGTTTCTTCTCAAATCTACCTCCGTTGTGCCAATAATCACCATATTCACTAAAATGAGGTCCAGCTATCCAAAACGTTCTGTATTAAGTCCGGAGACAATTGATTTTAGTTGAATATCATATTTGTGAGTTGATACGAATGATACAATCGGGGGTAATTTCACAATTTTTGCCTATATCTATCTTGATTCGGTCAGTCTGCGGAAAATAAAACGTATATTATGGCCAACTTAATTTTTTATTGTTTCTTTAATACCCATTTATATATCAGGGAAGGAAAGGTATCCATTTTCCTCCAGCGTGTGAAGTTTAATGCACAACGCGAAGCGGAGGGCCTGTACCAAGTTTCAAAATAATATACAGGATGTCCCAAAATTACATAGAAATATTTCGATACTCTTCTTTAGTTTCGATAGCATTCACCATTTTCGAGATAAATCGATTTCAAAATTCTGCTGCGTGATTAGAATAGTGGTTTTTTCTTATAATAGGGTAAGTACTAAATTTTCCCAAAAATTATGTCATGATGGGAATAACCCTTTTTTTCAAAATCTACTTGTGATGTTAGATTTTAAATATGGGGGGAACTATGAAAAGAATGAATTGAAACATAATATGGTGTATTAAGAAAAAGTACATTTTTATGCAGCAGACTCTTTGAATCAATTCATCTCAAAAATGGTGCGTGCTATTGAAACTAAAGAAAAGTAGCATTTTCAAGTAAAAATGATGATATTTTCATATTTCCTGGTCAAATTGCATAAAAAAAAAGTTGGGGGAAGAAGTGCCCCTAGCCCCACCTCTGATCAACATTTCAGAAAATTCTCAACATTTTCATCACAGAGGGTTCCGAAAATATTTACAAAGAACCAACATATCTCAAGCTCATCTTCAGATGGCTTTGACCCCCTAGGGGGTCATTTCTGGACCCATGTTTATTTGAACTTTTTTCCATTGTTGTTCCTAGAATCTGTGGTAGATAGAGATTATGAATCAATGAAGAAATAGTCAAATTTGAGAAAGCCGTTTGTATCTTTTATGTCCCTCTCCCAATGAATATCTTGAGGAAAAAAATCTGAATCAAAAATATTTGACGCTGAAAAAATCTGATATTTCATTTCAAGAATGAGAAATGAAATACCACCATATATTCCAGTGTATTTCAATGCAACTCACCCGCCCCCACGAATATTTGCTAGAGCAAAAATTCCATCAAAATTATTGATGAAAATCAATCTGCTGACTCCAAATGAAGGTGTCAAATTGACATTGAAGCCACCATATCCATACAACAGGCAAGGTTTAGATCCATCCTTCACCATTCCCTGAAAATATTCCATACACCATACACATGTTTTCTCTACAGGGGGGGAGAGAATATTGTCTCACCTTTTTGCTGACTATAAACATGGGAATATCAGTTCCATCTTTGCTTTTATAAAATACTTGTTTTGTCTCATAGTTGGATGAATCCAGATTCCCAACTTTAGTTTCATGAAATACTGTTTCTCTAATAGTTTCATTATCAAAATTGACCCTATGAATAATATTTGGCGTTAAGAATGAGCAGAAACTGTAGAACATTTCTTTATGGTAACGTTTACCGGAAATTGCCGATATTGTTCCGACATCCAGCTTAAAATCATGAATTTTCTTACCACTAGTCAAATCATGAATAGCCATAATATTCTGAAATGTGAATCAAATATACAGAGAGACCTCTATGAGATTTGTTCTTACCTTAACATCTTTGAGGTAGCAAAGGACAATCATATTGGTGTTGATGATATGTGCCCAATCAAGGACATCTTTGGGATGCTCTGGTATTAGATCTACCCATTTGGTTTCAGATGGATCTTCTAAATCAATAACTATCAATCTATAATTTGATGCATTCTTGTTTGTTCGAAAAACAAACTTTGTACCAGTATTTGTTACATACTAAAACAAAATGTAGGTATATTGGGTTCTATAATCATACAATAAGTTCTTTACTTCATAATCAGCCTCAAATTCCGTCACTATTGGTGTCAAATCAAGTTTCTTATAGATTCTACCAGTGGTTTCTAGTTTTGTGAAATATAACAAATTGTTTTTACAACCTTTTATAGGTGTTACTATCAAGTAATTACCACAATGACTCACTTGAGCGCCCCTGTAAGCATTATTAGAATATCATTTATAATATATCCTCATTTAACTAGGTGTCAGTAAACCTATACTAACATTCTGAGCTGGAGATCATCAAACTCCACAGTCATAACATCTTCAGATTGTTCTGTGCCTAATCTGTGGTAATACAACTTTTGGTTCTCACTTGATTTAGTTTCTGAACCATCAGTTTTTCCAGTTTGCAGCAAATATCCCTGTAATGTATTGTTATTTTTGTTAGGCATGATATAATCTTTGATTTTAGTATACAATCACAAGGAAGAATATTCAACAAACATTACCCCATAGAAAAAACCTTTATTATCATGCATCCAGGTCATTGGAGAGTACTTGACTTTCTTCAAAACTTCCTCATAATCTTTTCCTGCATCATGGAATATCATTTTAATCCTACAAATCTGAATTTCAATGCATTTTTATACCTGTTTTGACATCCCGAAATTTGATTTCTATCCAGTCTGACCCACTTGCACTCAGGCCATAAGCAAATATTCCACCATCTTCAGAAAATGCTGTTCCAGATAAAGCAACTGTGCCATCTTCAGAGAAAGTATTTGGATCAAGAAACACATTTCCTTCACTAGTTAAATCATCTTGAACATATATCACACTTTGATTTTGTAAACCTGTGGAATATAATTTCATTGAAAGACATTTTTCTCTGATGATGTAAAGCTTTTGGTTATTTACCAGTATTCCTGTACTGGTAGTATTTATCACCATGATGGTATGGTGTAGACACTTTGGGGTAGTTCCAGAGATTGGTGATTTTGTTCTTGATTTGTTCCTTGTAGGGACAAGCATCTATGAATGGTCTAGTAATTGCATTTTGAGCATCCACAAAAGCTTTAGATTCTTCAGAATCTGGGTCTTCTAACCATCTGTAGGGATCTGACACCTATGAAAAAAATACATAGTATATATGTGAGTAGTTGTGAGGTTTGGTACTTCTATACCTCTGTTCCGAAGTAGTTGTCTTTGACTGTTTCATCTCTTTGAACATCTGGATAACTGAATGACATACTTTTCTGGATATGGTAAAGAAATAGCTTCCTGAAAATTATTTTAAAAACATATTTTACGATATTATGAATAGTGTTACCTGTGCTTTAAGATTTTTGAAATATAATGCATGAATAGCAAAAATTTTATTCTATTTTGATTTTGACTGCCAATTTAAATTTTTTATGTGAATTTGTCAGTTGACAATCCAATCTGACAATAGTGACAATCGTTTTACCATTCATTTCATAGCAGAGGTTTCCGGAAGTGTCTATTCGCATGTCGCTGCGTGCCTACGTATGAATACGTTCAAATAGTGATAAGGCACTTTATCCGTACGTTTACGTGCAAATAACCACCAAGAATGCTATCCGTACAGTCGTCTTCAGAGAACATGTCACACATGGACCCAATGAACTCAATACCATGGACCACGCCAGAGAATCTCTGACCACGCTCTCTTGATCACCAGATCACCGCTGCAGTAAGACATTACATTGAAATATACTTCTGTGATATTGTTGAAATATTACTTTGCTTAGTGGGAAGATATATAAGAACAAGATTATAAATCTTTGATCTCAAATCATTATGAATATCATTAATATGTAATCTAGACTAATTATTTACACTTATAATCCACGACATTTCCAAAGACATTTCGTTTGCTAATCTGTGGAGATAGCAGATTATGAAATTACTCACCGAAATATAGGTAGTTGGGTATAGGTATTACTTGTTTTATTATGATATACCTACTGCTACTGCTGATAGAAATGATTTTTCAGATGATACATATATACATGATGCCTGAAAGTTGCGTATGATTTGAATGTTGAACAATGCATTTATCTTATCGTTATTTAAATATAGTAAAATAAATATTGCAAATTAAATGGATTTAATATGATGTTGAAGTTCACAGAGTATATAGGTACCTAATACCTATTTGAGATGTATTATATTGTAGTCGATTCATCTAGTACATGTGTATTTGAAAGAGAAAAAGCCCTCAAAGCTGTTGGATATATTTGCGAATAATTATTGATCTACCTCGCTGGTAGACAAAATTGAATATACTATTACGTGTTTTGCTTCTGAGTATTTCATTTCTTCAAATTCCTTCTGTAACTATTCACTTCTGAGAATAAAATACAGCAGAATTTTCGAAGTTGCCAGAAAATCATTCAATTGTACACTGATTGAAATCATCATTTTCTGTGAAATGCAGTGAGAAAACTTTCATGAATAACATGTCAAACCGAGCAATAATGATTCAAGATAGGTACTCTACTGAAAAACTTGAATGTATGTACGCTGATGTAAACAAACATTCAAAACGTTACTTGAAAATCCGTGAGAGGGCGTATCGCTCATTGTAAGTTTTGAATCGCCTCAGAAATCTGTTTTGGGATGAATAAAAGTAGCATGCGCCTAGTTGTTTCACTATACAATAGGTGGTCTATACTAGGGGGATTTCTGTTCATTCTGCATGCATGATTGAATGGAATGAACATATGAATATTGTAGGAGCGGAAAAATGAAAATGTACCGAAAATTTAAAATGGTACTAATGTACCACATCGGCAACACTGACTATGAATGTTAATCTGTTGCTGTCATTAATTTAATTTAAAATGAACTCAAAGATCTGGATATGTACATACATACCTGATCCATGCATGATAATACTATTGTACACATGAAAATGTGTCTGCATGGCCACAGAAGGTTCTGAGAAATGAAACACATACAATTACATACAAAAATGTATTACAAAAAGTATCAGACTTTTCAAATATCAGGTTTCAGTAAGTTACAATTAGAATTAACATTTGGTTCTTAAATAATAATAATAATTTCAAACACTCTTTGTGTATAATATGGCATCAATTGACATTTGTCTAGTCTATTAAAAAAACAAACAGAAAAAATATAGAAACATAGGGGCCACATGGACAGTCCTTCAAAATATGAAATCAAATTATCACAGAAGCAGTTTCCTTGGATACATTGATATGAGCTTGATAAAAAATCTCATCATATATATTGTATAAATGCCCTCCATATTCACTGCTCTGTTATGGTTACACAAACCTTCTATCCAGAAATTACCAGAGACCAGAAGAAAATCCACCAGGGGGTACCCTAACCCTCCTAGCTGGAGCAGCATTATTTTCATCATGTTTCTTTTCTTCCCCTTCAGTATCATGGTTTGGTTTTGTGTTTTCATCTGCTGCACCATTTCCATTTTTCACATCACCTTCATCTTTGGTCCTATTATCAGTCCTAACATTCTCCTCATGAGTAAAACATCCAGTTATAGAAGATGGATGATTTTTTCTTTTGTTGGGTGTTAGAAATTCATTGTCTCCATTAATCCCAAAGATGTCTGTATGGCCACCACCTGGTGGTTTCAACACCCTACTAGAGTTTTTCACTTCATCCAATCCAATATTAAACTTCGTAGAAGTCATTCTAGGACATAAAATTATAATCAGTAAAATTAGAATCAAGAAAAAATACAATGAAAAACTCACTTCACTCTGTGCTGATCAGATAAGATTGGTAGGTAAATGGATGAATGCTGCTATTGTTAGGATTAAATCGATGACTCAGTGCTCTGAAAAAAAGAGATAAATGAATAGTAAAATGTCGGTTCTCCTAAAATGTTGAATGAATTGAATATAAAGTCTTTCACAGTAGTGATAAAATAACATTTTTAAATTACCTTGCCAAGCAACTTCTAACAAACTTGAACAGGCGGCCACAAATCTCTAACTGGGGAGACGGTTATCGTTGAGTTTAAAGTTTGAATTGAAATTAAAATGAACTTTCGACCTCGTAGCTACTGAACGCCAATCAGAATGGAGATCGTTTGTTAACTTGCAAATAAAAAGAAATGGAAGAAAAACTGTGTTTCAGCCATTCACCCAATAGTACAACGACCCTGGGTCACATGACCTGGAATTCCTCGAACTCCTATCACTCTTCAATACAAACATTGTCACGAGGTTGCCAGGTGTTGGGAACGGCCGAATGTTTTCCCAACGTTGCCAGGCAACCACATACTATTCGAATTAATCATCATGCACTCATTCAACGTGTGTATTCAAGGTTTTAAACTATTGATCGATACGATTCTGTTAGAAAATAGGGGGATACCACTGATACCATACGCTTTTATTGCTTCCCTTCGATTGACATTTAATTTCGTAGATATGCAATCTAGACTGGTGATTGGTTAATATACTTTCGAAACGTCACTCAAGTCTGCATATCTGTGGCATGGATACCTATCTCTGTTGTGGTTATAATAAATCATTGTAAGAAAGAAAGACAGGTATGCACCGGCTCGAAGGTGCGCGTAGCGTGTCTTCGGATCCTCTCCAAGGCAACGGCAACACCACAGATTTGTTAATCTGTGGCAACACTACATGACATGAATAATTCTATGGAATCCACCGGCCACCGCCATGGCTAGAATCATTCGAAAATATGTCATATTTTGTTCTTATTGTGGAAAGGTTCTATTTCTGGGTAATAGGACATACTATATGAATAATTCTAATTTCTTACCGTTTCAAAATCTTGAATTCACAGAAGCAAATAAAACATTAGATTTGTGTGATAAGAGTTTATTGATTTCAAATTCAATGGAGGCATCTGCAAAAATCATGCAATGGAACTATCTCAAACAATGAATATAAACTAAATAGGCTGTACAACAGGAAATAACGTAAATAGCTAATAAAAATAAAATGCATTTCAACATTCAGTAGAACCTACTAGAATAAGACATCTCAAAAAGCCCCTGGAATAATGAAATCAATCACCAAAAAACATGTGTTTGATCAGCAGATCAGAATTGCATCGCATCTAGAGAGAACAACTAACTGGATCGTCATTCCCTGACAATAAATGTGCATTTACTTTGTCAGAAAACGGTTAGCAATTACTAGCTTCAAAAACGACATAACATAATAGTAAATATTAGGTTAATATTAGGGTCCGAAATTATATTTTGTAACAACAATAACGTTTATTCAACATTATGCGTGTTGGCCAGAAGTGTGACACTTCAAAATATTTCAAATGTGGCGTGGACTCAAAAACCACAACATCATAATTCACTTCAAATTCTCTTCTCGAGTCCAAAAACGACAAATTCGGTAAAGAGATATCGAATATGAATGAATATAGGTAATATGTCAATTTTTTCATCCAGCCAATATGCCTTAGTAACCCTACATGAAACATCAGAATAAGTATATCAACTAATGCTACTTTTGGAATATTTCCATGTATTTACCATCGATTAATTCAGAGTTTATTCATCATGCTATTTCACAATAACCTTTTATTCAATACTCAGAATATTTCAAAAGTACGGACTTCATTCGAACCCTAAATTTGTGTACATTAATACACAACTTACAATTTCGTAAACCAATTCTGAACTACTGTCTCCCAAATTCATTTTCTGCCCATGAAAACGAAAATGGGTAGCACTGACAGAGATTAGAGGAACGTGAGGAGATACCGCAGTCTGTGGTAATCCCGCCAACAAATTAAAAGTACTTCAATTTTCAACTTAAAAATATTCACTGGTAATTGAACACATTTGCTTGTTAAAACAAAACAAAATAATCTGCAAAATATATCATTTTCTGATTTGATATCCCATGTCAGGATTACCTCAGAGGTGTGGTGAAAATACCACATTCGAGTAATTCCACCAAGACGACTTTATGATTAATCTTAGTAATGAATTTGTTCGACTTAAACATACATTATCTTAGTTTACTGCCGACAGACGTAGCGGTATGGTCCAACCTTCCCCTACAGTGCTGATGCAATAACCAGAATTATACAATTACATACATGAAATCATTTCATATAACATCATATGTTAATGAAATCACATGAAACAAGAAAAAAAAAACAATAATTCTTAGTTATTTTTCGAATATAAATTATGCAAGTTTTTACATGGCCACATGGAACTCATGTATCATTATACTGTACCAATGACTGGGGTGAAACACTATCGCTATTCAGATATGCCAAAACACATCTGAAGGCCATTGGTACAGTCTACGCAGAGTTCAAAGTTTACTTCTTTACACCATTCTGGTTGACCGGCCCCTTTGCAGACACCACTGGAGAACCACTATAAAAAAATAAAAATTCATTAATACTGAATATATATAAAACAGAAGTCTCATCGAAAAACATTGGGTATAATAGGCCTGTTCGTTTGGGCTTGCTCTACCTGCTGAACTTGATTTTTTTCTACGACTTTCTCTGTTTACATCATGCCATGAACAGAGACAACTATTGGAAAAAAATCATCAGCAAGTTTAGCAATAGAGACGAACAGGCCTAATAAATATTTCAAACTTCCAACTTTCATACATATTTTTACTTTTGAGGTTTTTGACATGTCATTCTGACAGTAATCAAAATAGCCTGCAGAATTTATGATGAAATTTCAAGCCTGTAGCGACGATTGGCGATCCACGAGAAAGAAAATTCAAAATTTTATATCAATATTTAGATTTCACATTATATTGAAATCAGAAAATTATAGATGTAAAATTTGAAGTTTTCAACTGGAAGGCTGCGAAAATTACACCTGCGTTGCAAGCATCTTTTTGCAGGAATCTCAGTTGCTATGGAAACCTTTTGAAGTAATCAAATATCTGTCAATTCAATTCTGTGATTTGATTTTAAAAAATTGCGAAATTAGTGATTGTTTAGTAATTTACATAAGCGCGAAGTGGAATGGAAGATGAAAAGGTATTGCAGTTCACTCTGAGAGACGTCTCATTTTCCGGGAAAAAAGGACTCACTTTTTCGCGTGGGAAAAAAGTAATTTTATGAAGTGACATTATGCATAATTCGCTAGATTCAATTAAAATTTTCAACAAAATGAGGGAACCTGTTATCACAAACAAACCACCATATAATTAGTGTGTGAATGAGAAACCTAAGGAACCTCAACTTTTTATAGAAGGTGCTGGAAAATAAAAAATCTTGAATTGTGAACGCTCTATAGATCATAGATTTGAAAAAAAGTCTAATTTTGACCTGAAAAATACATCTCAAATCTTGATTCGGAATTTTGAAACGCTCCTATTATAGTTCATGTCACCGTTCTTGACTTCTATGTCGAGTACTAAGTCGACAGCAAACATTATATTAGCAGCATTATATCACTATCCTGAGCTTGAACTGGAACTGGCAAGGTTTTCTCATAACAGACCTCGATAAAAACATTGTGAACAATACATTTGTACCGTTTTTCATGGAGTAGTACAATTCGTTTTGTCCAATGGGGTGTGTTGTTCGGGGAGATAATGATTCCTCACCTGTCGACTGTGGTAGATCCTTCCTTAGGAGCAATATCCAGGCCCAACTCAGAGAGAACCTTGAGGGCCTCCAGAGCCGCCTTTTCGTGAGAGGCCTCCGTAGTGGGTCCCTCCCCGTGGCACACCTGCGTCGGGATCGTGCTGAGAGACACCAGAGTTAGGTACATCTCGTGGTTGGCCTTGGGAAAATCGGAGAACTGGACCTGGATGTTCATCAGCTGGGCCAGGTAGAGCAGCTTGTCTTTGGAACGGACCCCCTGTATGGTCGGAGGCGGTTTCATCTGCTGCGGCTGCATGGGTTTCTCCATGTTGGTGTCTTTTGGTTTCTGGAACCCGGACTGTTCGGTTACCAGAAGGACTCCGGGCACCAGCTGCCTGCCTCCACTGCCGCCTACACTCTGAGTGGGAGTGGGTTCTTGGTTTTCTTCGACGAAGGTTACTTTGCGATTTTTCTCGGCGATGTGGGCAGTGGAATCGGCCTCTTTGTCCGATTTTATTGGTTTCGTGTTGGTGAGGCTGATGTTATTGTAGCCCAGCTCCAGGAGTAGGGATTCAGCTGCGTTGCGTTTGGCCACCTACAAGCAAAACCATTTGGTAAATGCTTGTTCCCAACGGAGAATATAGTTACGAGACTCCAGAGTTTTTTGTCCACGTTGTGGAATTTCCAATTTTCGAGGCGGCAAATTGTTACGTACATTCTGAATTTAGTTTGAATTTAGCTGATGCATATAGCTAGTGAATAGCTAGCGAATGAAACATGAATAAAAAAATAGAAGACACTTGGCGTCGTTGTTGATGTTTATAACTTGAAAAATAGCGATGACCACCTTACTAGCAAAACAACTTTGAACTGTAGACATAGGCTTAAGAATAACTGAGGATCAAAACTCGACACAAGTAAAACTAGAAAACAGAAACATACATAACCACACAATCAGATCAACTCTCGGTGTGACTGTCAGTATTTTATGTGGTGTGGACGGGCTCAAAGTATTATACGCTGTTGCTAGATATAATCTGCAACTTTCCTAGAAAATAGATCCGTTTTTATAAAGTAACGAATTCATAAGCAAAATAATGAATGACAAGTTATGATTATCATTTTGTAATATAAAAGTGAAAAATTATAGATACTATTGCAAAAAAATATCATAATGATATTAGTAATTCATCAAGCAGATAGGAGATTTATGAAAATTATTCATGATACTCAACAATTTGATGATGCCGGCAACGTCGTACTGACACAGGGACGTCATAGAAATGGTGAAGGAGCCAAGTTCCTTTTCCATTAATTTTTTTCTGATGTGGAATTTGATATTACGAAAAAGAAAAAAACGGCATATAATAAATTTTTACAAACTTCACATTGAGATAAAAACCTCAATATTGGATACATCCTCATTGAAGCCCGATGGGAGTAGTATTAGTTAGCAAATTATTGATGTTTTTTCGAAATATTAGAAATAGATTTCGTGATTCTGTATCATGTATTGTAGTTTATAGTGTTTGTGTTTGAATAAATCGTTTTAAGTTTACTACTGAGTATTTGTGAAAAACCCGGACGTTT